AAAAAGGTTAAGAAGTGCTGGCCTAGGGGGAGGGGCAGACACTTTAACATATGTCTAGGATGTGTCATGGTGAGTGTTACAAGGGATGCCAATTGCATGTTGCAAAAAGAGCACAAGGAAGAAACAAATCACTGGAAGAAGGGCTTCCAAAGGATTCCAAGAAGATTCCTACCTGTCCTGGGTCTTAAAGACAGAATGTAATTGGCTGGGGGCATTCCAAGCACCGGTAATAAGCATGTGAAAGTTACTAGGGGAAAAACATGACCCTCTGGAAGAAGACCAAGCAATCTGGAGTGGCCAGAACTTGGGGCGTTGAAGATGAGTGGAGGAAAAGAAGGACTAGTTGGAAATGACCCTGAAAGCGTGTTCTGGCATTAGATCAGGGGAGGGTTTTTCCCATCAAGTTATGTAGTTCCCACCTACCTTCTAGGGAAAAGACTGGCAGAGGCAGGAGTGTGTGAGTGTGTGTGTGTGTGTATGCCCTTACTGACGAATTAAAAGTAGGGAGCATGGGAGTGATAGTAAGAGATACACGTTTTGCTTTTATTTTAACATATATAGAAAGTTATTCAACATTTAGCTTAGACATATAGTAAACTAACTACATATACTTATGTGGTTCTTGTTTTGACAACTATCCCTCTGACCCTGGGATTGGTGTGGCTCTCTAAGCCACAATTAGGTCAGGTTCTCATTTTTGTCCTCCCTGCTTCACAGCAGTCTGCTTCTCTCCTGACTGTCCCTGTTTTTGAGCCCGTACTTAGGTTCTCTGTGCCAGCTAAAAATATGTTATAGAGAGAGAAGTGTGGTGGCAGTGTGGAGGTGGGAGATGAACAGAGGTGGGGAGCCTAAGAGGACAGTCTGGAAAAGAGTGATTAGGGACTGCAAAGTAGGAGGACACTGATCACATTTGTCCCAGAGGATCTCAATGAAGGGAATCAAGATCCAATGATACAAGTTAAAGTCTGACAGTCTGAGCTGCCTAAAGATTCAAAAGAGCACTTTGATTTCTCAGTGTGGTTCTTTAGACAAACTACAGGGCCATTTGGCAGTGAGAGAATTTAAAAAGTTTATTAATTATCTATTGCTGCGTAAATTACTCCAAAATGTAGTGATTTAAAACAACAAACATTTATTTTCTCAGTTTCTGTAGGGGAGGAATTCAGGAGTGGCTTTGTTGGGTGGTTCTTGCTCAGAGTCTCTCAGGAGATTTCAGTCAAAAAATCTGCCCAGAGCTGCAGTCATCCGAAGGCTCACTCAGAGCTGAGGCTGTCAGCAGGAAGCTCCAGTACCTGACTGGCTGTTGGAAGGAGGTCACAGTTTTTTGCTACATGGGCCTCTCCACAGTACTGCTTGAGTGTCCTCACGACATGGCAGGTGGTCTTTCCCAGAGTGAGCGATCCAACAGAGAAAGCAAGAAGGAAGCCCCAACGCCTTTTTTAACCTACCCCAGAAGTCACACACTGTCACTCTGCCATATTCTTGAAAGTGAGGCAAGGGGAAAGGAATTAAGCTCCACCTCTTGCAAGCAATTTATGGACCAAGCACAAGTAACAAGGTCACACAGAGGACTTTGAAAGTTCCTTTATCCCTGAGATTCTCCAACTCTGTTCATGAATCAGTAAACAAAGAACAAACCTTGAAAGTGCTCTATATTTGAGTCATCTGACCCTTGAAGTGGCCCACTGGGGCTCTTGTAATTGATGTATTTGCCAAGAGGAGAGGCTCAGTAATGGCTTCCTGGAAACTCCACCAAGTGGCAGTGGGATTTGACTGAAACTGTTTTTGTGGTGTAATAGAAACACTATTTATGATTTTCAGAAAAGAGTGGACGCAGAAAAAGCTGAAGTTAGAGATTGTTTTGATTATACTATTCTCGGGACGAAAAAGTGATTGAACAATATACAGCAGTGAACTGTTTTTTTTTTTTAATTTTGGGAATTGTTTTATTTGGATGTGTAGGAAAGAAAGACGTCTGAGAGTTCCTGGTTACTATATATTACTACGTATTAAGGAGCCATGAGTTTATGAAGTTATACCCTCATGAGAGTTTTATAAAGCAATAAATGGGAAGTCACGGTCCAAACATGAAGCAAATTAAGTTGTGGCCTGATTTGGAGCAATCGATGGGGTACAGCACAGGAGAATTCACTTGAACTTGATGTTTGAAATATTCTCTTTTTACAGGCAGAGGTTTATGACAGACACCTCCCTTTGTCCAATCTTCCACTACTGGATCTGCAGTGAATAACATTTACACAAACTTGATACTGTCAATGCTGGTTACTAACTGTCACTGTTTGGAATCAATCTCTAATCAAAGAAGACAAGTTAGCTATAGCACAGAATGCAAATGTTAATAATCATGACAATAATGGTATGGATGCTAGAGACTGAGGTGAGGGTTAGGAGTGAGGGAGGAAAAGAAGAGTGCAGGAACTTTCCAAAACTTACACAGTTGAAGGGGTGAGGGATGGTTGATAGAAATTATATAAAGTTGATGAATCAAGAAATAGTGTGTTAAAGTTGCAATAAAATTACAATATATGATTACAAGTTAGAATAGAATTCTAACAAAAGTCCAGAGGAAAGAGGAGTGAGAGTGATGTGAGCTACATTCTTACTTTTTTCCCAAAAAGGAGTCACAAGTTACTGACTAATCAAGGAATAGAAGCATGAGCACATTCTATAGTGAAGGTATTTCCCATGAGAAGAACCAGAACCAGAGACTGGTGGCTCTGGCATCAGAGTGGCCAAGGTGACTTTTACATCTGCTTTCCTGCCCTTCTGTATTGTGTTTGCTTTCTTACCACATACTGAACATACATAACTCTTGAAAAGTGAAAATGTAAAAATCCATGTAGTTGGTAGCATCTATAAGTTGATACTAGCCCATGTTCACCAGGTTTTAGTAAATAAACTTCACAAACATCAATCCCTGTAGTTAACTAACAAATTTCACTATGAATCATAAATTGACACTTCACATTTCATTCTTCTTGAGATAGAGAGTAGGAATCAGTTTATAAATTACTAACTCAGTGATAAAAACTATTTTACATGAGCTAAAATTCTATGACTTATCCTTAAATATGCATTTCTATACTAGACAACCAAAAATGAAAGGACAACCAAAAAAACCTTACAATTTTCAGGATTAACTCAAACGGGCAAGAGTCTGTGCTCAGTAAAGAACTGACACTTCATCCTAGGAACAGACCATGAAGCAGTTTTAATAACTGCCCTCCTTCTTATTCTGAGTTTTTATGGAACCCAAGTATACCCTTTGCATATTTTACAAACAAAGTCCACTATCTAACTGTGGAAGATAGTCAAAAGAGTCAACAGTGATTAAGATACCAAAGAAGCAAACTGCTATTTGCCTTGGTTTCACAAAAGATGGCCATTTAAAATAACACTTTCCAGGAGCAACCTGGGTACCAAGTATAGTGAGAGAACACAGCAAGAAAAACAATGAGGTTTGGTAGTCACAGTCGAGGTGGAGAAAGAGGCCTTTTATATGAAAATGCTCTTTTTCTTCTTTGAGGAATGAGAGGAGACATGTTATGAAAGCTCTTTGGGCTTCTATAGAAAAAATACTTTTTACATTCATAAGAAATGCCCAATCTTCTATTTTACAGACTCAATGAACCTCAGGGTACAAAGGGATTTGTACTATAGCAATTCACAACAATCATTCAATACAGATCAGGCACCAATCACACTTGATGTAAGGAAATTTTTACAAAGAGTTGAACTACCACAGCTCCTGTGGATGACCTATAGTGCTTATATAAAAAGATACTTAGAGAAGAATGGATAAATACACAGTGATGGATCCATACAATGGAATACTATACAGCAAGGAAAATGAACAAACTACTGCCACATGTAACATGGATGAATCTAACAGGCTTAATGTTGACTGAAGACATTAGACATAAATAGTACATATTCTGTGATTTCATTTACATAAAATATGAAACCAAGCAAACCTAATCATGGTGTTACAAGTCAGGATAGTGGTTAACTTTGGAGGAGGTAGAGACTCGGTGGGGTTACATGGGGGCTTTTGGAGTTGTGGTAAAGTTCTGGTTTTTATCTGGATGCTGGTTACATGGGTGGGTTCAGTTTGTAATAACTCATCAAGCAGTTGCAATTATGATTTGTGTATTTTTCTGAATGAATGTATACTTCAATTAAAAAGTCAATTAAAAAAACAACATACAAGACCCTCTGCTAGCTTATGTGACCTTTATGCAGAATTTTTTTAAATTCATTTATGAATGAATTAGAAAAAGGCACCCTTGTGGGCAGAGGCAGCCCCACAAGTTTGTGCTTTGGCAAATGGAAGGCAGGCCGGCTTCCATCTCCACTGGTGCGCTTGGCTAGACACAAAAGCACACATCTGGATGGACATCTGCAAATCTGAAAAACACTCATTTGACCCTTCCTCACCACAGCTTTATGAGGAGGGCAGGTCAGGCATCTTTATTTTACAGACAAGGATGTGGCATGGGAAAATAAGACTGATGCATGAAGGAGTCACAGCTAACAAGCAATGGAGCCAGGACAAACTTCTAGGCCAGTAGCTCTTCACATGGTTCTGATTCCTTTTTTGGAGGGGAACATGAAGAAGCTTCTTTCTATGTTACTGTGTATGTTGTTAGAGGTCATCTCAAATGCTTTGTGGAATCAGGCAGGGGATAAATACATGGTCCAATGTTCTTAATATTGGGCATTAGTAAAGGTCCTAAGTTCTAAGCCTAGGACCTTTGAAAAATATGCTCTAAGCATATACTCAGAAATAAATATTCATCTTTTATACGTTTACCTATGTAAAAAGATCAGTATAATAGAGATGTTTAGATAGCAATACAGCATCCTGGCCCACATATAGCTTAAAATTATTGATTATAAGTATGTAAATCTTACCATGTCTTGAAAAAATGAAAGAGAAAGACCCACAGACACACACATAATGTCTATGTCCAACTTACCTAGAAGTGTCTGCTTATTTTGGGAGGAGTCAGGCTCTGCAGAACATCTGCAGGATCGGAGAACAATGACTCCTCCAAGCACTCCATCTTCACTGGCCAGGAAAGGTGAACCTAGGCAGAAAGGACCAGTCACTTTTCAATTAATTTTACTTTTTCATTTTCAATTTTCATTTGATTACTAGCACAAAAATATGGCATGAATAAGATCTTGAAAGATGCCTATTTTCTGCCAATCACACTGTGCATACCTTGTACAGGGCTTGATAGCAAAGGCAGGCTTCTGCCCAAACAGGGGCCATTTGGCAAAGACAGTGCCAGATGCTGCCAAAAAGACTTGAGTAGGGGTGGAGTGTGCATTACTGTATTCAAAATGGAATTGGAAACACCACCAGATTAAAGGACCAAAACACAAATACCGGAAAAAATGCTCAGCAACTCCCTTTGATCAGCTCTTAGAGATCACTTACCAAGCTCTCCCTGCTGTCAGGGGCACGCCACCAAAAGCTTTAATTTACTACCTTAAATTCAATTTTAAACAATAAACCACAAACTTTATTACAAACATTTAAAAATGCTCCTGATGGTTTACACAAATAAGGGTGAAACTGTATTTCTATTATGAGAATCTGGTGGTTAGAAACGACTGGGCCTCTTTGAGATCTCACACACTGAACCATTGTAAGCATTTCAAGAACACTACATTTTAAAACCCCTCATTTTTCCTCCCCAAGGACATCTTCTTTGAACATCTGGCACAGCAAGTGAGCACGTGGAGAACAAATGCAAAATTAACCCAAGCACTATCAAAGAAAGTAGTAAAGATAAAAACCAACCAAACTGGATTTGGGGGGAGCTTCTGGTGAAACTCAGTAGATTAAACACATGCATTTATCTCCACTCCTTCCTCAAATCCCAGTAAACTGAGAGGAAAGGAAGAAAAAAGGCATGGCCCAATAAGGACAGGCAGACAAGAAAAAAAACTGAACTTTTAGAAAATGGAAAGAAGATGGACAAGTAGTTCCTCACCTAGCAGACCCACGAAAGCTAAAACTTAAGCTTCCACAGGAGGGGGTCAGGGGGAAGGTTGTTTGGAGTTGGGGGGCATCTATAAGAAACCACCCAGATTTGTCATAAAACCCAAAAAGGATCAGAAACTGGAGGTTTCAAGTTCTTCTGAAGGCTGGGTGCAGGGTGGGGCTGAAATGAAGATGGTTGGTTTAGAATGTCCAAAAGGATCCTCTAGACCAGATGTCAGTAAACTATGACCTGTCTGGTCCGC